CCGAGGGCCACAAACTGCAGACAGAGTCACCAGCAGCCAGCCAGCTCAGAGTGAAAAGAAAATCTACCAGCAGATTTTGGGGGATAGAAGGGTATCAGGAGATGCACAGACCGCGTTCTGTGTTGGGTCCCTTATAGCTTGGCACCACATGTGCAGCACCTAATATCTCGACACCCCCGGGTTCGCTGCTATGTACTGGGGAGCCGCGCTTTCGCACGCGGTATGCACTGAAACGAGCGGGTACAGAACAGAGACAAGCACGTGAGGACCGAGTACCTAGCCAATGATAGGAGGGTTTGGCACGAAATTAGGCAGGTAGCGACGCAGCGTCAACTCAGCCTTTGTCAGCCTCGTGCACACCCGCAGTTTGTAACCCCTGTCACTTCGTTCCTTCGTTTCAGGGTACTACCTTCAAATCTATCCTGTGCCATTGCTGATTGATCACGTAGCCGGTTGAAAGTACTTAGTTGTTTCAAATTCCGTTTTCTTTTCTCAAAGCTTAAACACCGTTTGAGTCGTCGAGAAAGTCGCGGAGGGAGTGTCGTGGACTGGTATATTTGCTTTTGTGCGGCTGACTTTTAAACCATGAATTGCGTTAATATTGCTAATATGTGTTACCCGTCATGCACCAAGCTAATATGAGTGGGTGCAAGTTTGGAAACAATGATCCCCTCAACCTGCTAGCTCCACTAGTCGGAAAGGTTATCTGGCTGTCGTACTTACTAGCCAACAAGAGGCAATATCTCAGTCATGAGCAAGGAAGATCACCATTAGTGTAATGCAATCCTTCCGAAGTCGCCACGCTGATCATTGCAGGTAGCTAGTAGATATGTGCATAGCTTCTACTCCGTATGTTACTAAATAGTTGCTCGAGCCTTCTACTTAGTGCATATGAAATAGCATCCAACCACTTACAACGTCACATTTTAGTAAAAGCAATATATATCTTGTGTTACGGCACATACGACGCAGACAGATCCCAGTTACTGCACAATTACCCCTCTGCACCTATCTAATGCCCAAGGATTAGAAGATAGAAAGAACATCGGGTGTAAAACCCTCAGTCAGCACTTCCCTCCCCTCCCAGACGGATAACTCTTAATAATCCACTCACATATTACCGTTGAACTCATCAACCAGCAAAGAGAAAGTATCTTGGAAAATCAAATCACAATATCCAAGTCCAACTCCCTCAAAGTCCTCCTCCTCCCCTTCCCTTCCTTCGACACACTAGACCTCTACGCCCCGATCGAAGTCCTCGGCAAAGGAGCCGCAACGGGCGGCCTCGATATCACCTTCGAGATAGCTGCTATCCAACACTGCACTCTATCAGCGGAGAAAGTCCCCGTCTACTCAACTCAAACCATCACTGATGCCCTGAAAAAAATCGACGAATACGAGATCGTCATTCAGCCCGGGGGTGGAATCCAAGATATCGAGAAGTACTTGGGGGATCTGCGGACGAATGGCGAGCATCTCGAGTTACTGAGGTGCTTTTCCGAGTTGAAGACTCCCTCACCGCGGGGTTGCAAGCGTTTTCTGATGTCGATCTGTACCGGGGCGTTGATTGTGGGATTCTCGGGCGCGTTTAGTCACCTCACTGTTACGACGCATTATGAGGGGCTGGATAAACTGATCCGTTATTGTGAGTTAAGAGGAGAGGGGACAACAGTCGTACCTGATATCAGGAAGAAGCCTGATAACGGGAAGGTGTCGGATATCGAGCAGTGGGCATGGGATGGGTATAAGATGGCGCAGAAACAGAATAGACGCTGGGTTGATGCGGGATGCAATGTATCCGGGGTTAGGGTGATCAGTTCGGGGGGTATTAGTTGTGGGATTGATGCGTCATTGTTCCTTGTGAGTGAGTTGGAGAAGTGGGAGGAGACTGGTCAGTGCAAGAAGCTGGGGATTGAGCAGGCGCAGTTGGGGGCCAGGATTATGGAGTATGCCTGGCGGTGGGCTTGAATCCTGCCCTGTCCAGGAAGACTAATGACGAACTGAGTGGTCAAATAGTTACACTGTTAGGGCCTTCCGGATAGGCTTATTCATCGTCCACCCAATTTCCCCTAGTGGCTATTCGTATGATATCGGAAGTATGGTGTCATAACACAACATAGTTCGATTATAAGATCCCTGAGATCGCTCGACCGATCTTAACACCTTCAATCAATAATCTGGTTCTTTTTGACATGTTCAGTACTAGCCAGTATATCAAGTCCTCATCCTGACGACTAATCGTTTTCTGCCGGTGGGAACTGCCAGATCATCTCCTGTCAACCCAGTGTCGTAATTAATATCACTTAGTTTCTACCCCGCCTCAGGGCTTTTATCTATTCGAAGTTTATTGCGAGCCTTGATCAGGCAGAGGGCGACCACAGTTTTGATCCTCTATCTCCCCTGGTTTCTTAGCTCCGACCTTGGGAGTGGAGGTTGTTGTTCTCGGCGTAGGGCTGACACCAGGTATGACTAACGATCTGTTGTCCAATCAGCTGCGGGCTCCTATACAGTAGACTGGGGAGGCGCTCTTTCGCACGCGGTAGGCCCTGAAACGAATTGGTGCAGGGGGAGTAGAGGCAAGCACGTGAGCATCAAAATACCTGGTCAATGAAAGGGGAGGGATGCCACGGAATTAAGCAGGGCGCGATGCAGCGTCATTGGCCGACTGTTCTTTACCCCTCTGAGGCATTATTTCACTGGCCCTAGTACCTGCTAGATCACTGATGCTTCGGCGATTCCATGGAGTTTCTACATTCTACCTTTTTTTTCGCGTAGGAGCCAAGCTGCAGCTAGGAATGATAGCGGGAGCTGACAGATCAAAGGACCCAAGCCCTCGAAGACCAGCAGGCCCAGTGCGTCCAGCGCTCGGACGGGCGCTCACGATCAACGGACGTACAGATAGCTGCAGCGATCTTTATCCGATGTGGCGTCTCACACGGTGATCATGGCCTCTTTCACGCTCCAACTGCCTTCACTCCGGTCATCCTCTCTTTCACTTACTATGATACACGAGACCGCCTCCACCATGCTGGAGCCCACATTCAAGGATATGGGGCCACCACGCAGGACGCGCTCATCCTGTTTGAAGCCTGTTTAACCGGCGACTTGCACCTTATTCCCCGTCGCCCTCTTTTCGCGAACGGTCGTATCTCATGCGCAGCGGCAGCATCTTCATCTACAAGGAGTACTCCTCCGGCATCAGGCGATGGAACCCCAGTCGTATGCGACGGATTTTCTCATCTGTCATAAATTAGAGGAGTCCTCTCCTACCGGCAGGAAGAGGCATGTCAAAAAGAGGGGCAATCGTCGACTGATGCCCTACCCATTTCACCCGGCCCGGAGAGCCTTATCCAAGACGCGACAGCAACGATACATGCTACCCGCTATCCTCCCTCTTCGCCGTCCGGTTCATTCGTGAATCATCCACTGCAATCGGAAGTTCGGCGGGCGTTTGTGGGATCGCTTTCCGATTCCTACGACTTCAAGGATTCTGGCCTCGTCAAGAAAACCATGAGCGTCACTGTATCGGGAGACACCCACCACCTTGACTCGTAATATATAGTCAAAGACGTACCTGCTCTCATATTTTCACGAGCTTCCTTGTAGTCTTGTTCCTGTCGATTCCACGGTCATTCTGAAGGACTCCGAATACGCAGTTCTGCTTGAGCGTGCAGTATTGCCGATCCTCAAAGAGCACGAAGTTGCTTATCGGGCGGCATCAAGTCCCCAGTATGGAGTTCGTGGTCCGGCCACGGAGCAAATCTTGCAAACGCCTATATCTGTTATTTGAGGTATAGGGCATCCGTTTCTTTCGGTGTGGGTCCACTCTCTTCGCGGTAAAGCAGAAACGCGAAACACAGACAAGGAATGGTATCGACAGAATCATGGGCAGGCTGAGACAGCAACTTTCAGATGAAATACGCTCGGAAGCGAAGGCCTGTAAAGCGTGTGTTAAGACGGAGGGCATAAGGAGATATGCCCGATATAAGGCTGTAGTTTATTGCGGGATCGAGCACCAGAAAGCAGATTGGAAGACACAAAAAGAGGGATTGTCTGCTGTTGAAGCTATTCCAGCCCTATTTATGTGTGTGTCGACACTCCTATTTATAGATTAGGCATGTGAGCTGGCGGACGGTGGTGTAGAAGAGTTGGGGTACAGGGCGGGCGCTCAGGCGGGGGCGTGCCGCTGGTTGTTACGGGTGGAAAGGCAGCCGTTTCTGGCACCAAAAGCTGTTATTTTCTACGTCGATTTCACAGGTCCTCATATTCTATATATAAACCTGCGGATTTCCTTTTCGAGTTAGTTTAGCTTTGGGTTTTAGCGTCGCCTAACCTTGGGACCTTCCATCAATGCCGATATAAAAGACCAGACTCTTTCCAAGGTTGTTACCCAGATCCAATTTGTTAGGAATCCGAGCTACCTCCCATTGATAAGGTTCAAGAGGAAACGACAGGAGAGCCCCCACAAGCAACCTACGCCAGCCTGGACAACTACCCGGCCGATCTGACCAAGATAGCCTGGAGCGAAGGGCCAAAGAAAAAGACACCGCTGAAGATGTAATACAAAGAGCGGTTCGGAATCTTGCATACGAGCTGGAGGCACGAGCTCTTCGAACTCTGGGCACGTTCCAGAAGAACCACATGCTTTGACAGACTAGGTAGAGTAGCGAAGGGAAAATGATTGAAGAGAGGATGGCCAGGGGTCGAATATGAGAAATAAGGACAAGGTTTAGATGGTGTGATTGAGTTTGGAGCCTCAATTTTGCCGAATTTCCTCCGTCGGGCTTCTTAGTTCGGGGACCAAAAAGTTATAAAGGTTATAAAGGAGGAAAAGGAGAAATAGAATCTAGAGTTTGCCAAGTTAATCTTCTCTAAAAGCTTGTAAACTAGTAAATTAGATAAATCCTTTTCGCTTATGAAATGCCTGTCATTGAAAGTCCTCCTTCACCTTTTGATGTAGTTTGTCCCCGTCTCAGTATTTCTGTCTACCCTAAAAAGGAATGGATTCCGCCCTCATCACCCATTGGGTGCTTACCTGGGTGGCAATCGGCTTGATTGTCCTTCGGCTGCTACTGCGGAAGTTGAGAGGACAGTTCATCTTGGGCGATTATTTCGCAATGGGGGCGATGCTGTGTGCATTCATACGCCTTGCCTTGGTCCATGTTATTCTTATCTGGGGAACCAACAATATGTCTAACACGTCCAGACGTACACACCATTTCACCCTGGAGGAGATCCGTCGCAGAGAGATCGCGAGCAAATTCGTGCTCACCGATCGAGTGTTCTATACTTCCTAGTACGTGGTTTAAAGGAAATGCAGGGTCCGCTTTCTTTTCTCATATTTCTTTTAGTCTCTGGTTGCAAAAGTTGGTTCTGCTTGATGCCTACCGCAGACTGATCACGCACCTTCGCTGGGAGAAGGCCACGATGATCTCATATGTTGGCATATTTGCAACGACGTATATAACTGTACAAATTGTGACTTTCACAGAGTGCAATCCATTCAATCATTACTGGATGGTATTGCCGGATCCTGGTATTTCCTTCCCTCTTTCATTTTCATTTCCATTTTCCATGTTGAACCTTCTAACCAATGCAGGGACATGTTGCCAAGCACAGCTCCAATTGATCGTCCTCGGTATGCCTTCTGTCGGAAATATTATTTCATACCTCTAACATTCTTGTTTCTCCAGGTGTCTTCAATGTCATCACCGACCTTATGCTTATCGCTTTGCCGATCCCAATACTTGTCCTGGTTAAACGATCCACTGTTGAGTAAGCTTGGCCCCGACCTACATCACCATATGCATCTCGTTGACACTTTCTCTCCAGAAAAATCCAGCTAGCGGCCCTCTTCGCCGTCGGCTTTTTCATCGTTGTAGTCACTATCGCTAGACTACCTCAAAATGCCAAAAACTCCACTGAACAAGTGAACAGAACGGCTTGGACGTCCATTGAGTTACTCGCTGCCGCTATCGTCGCCAACGCTCCCGTTCTGTACGGACTCCTCGAAGGACGGAGGGAAAGGTCAAAGAACGCTCTATCAGGAGCTGGATCAGCTAAGCTGTCACAGGTACTTCAAAGGGGACCATCAAATGACCCTGAATCAGAACTACTACAAGGGACCCGCCATAGTAAGAGAGGGTCCGCCTTCGGTCCAAAGATATCATGCCGGAATTATTTGGGGATTGATGGAGAGAGCAGTCAGTCGTTGACTCGAAGCCTGGAAAATTAGTTTAAGTACGTCTATTTCAACCAAAACGCCAATCAATTAATATTGGTCCTCACGCATTCAACAGGGACAAGATGTGCATAGTTTCGTAACGGGTCATCTCCCACTGCCTCATACGTAAACGAGTTAGCATAGCGCCAGGTCTGGGCATCTCGTTTAGGGCATTAATCTCATAGGTCCTCAGATTCTAGGTGCAAATATAGAGATACCGGTTGTCTTCATGGCAGCTTTGCATGTCTCATTTCATTCCTTGACACTATTTACGTGTCTGCTTAGTATTAATTCTACCAAAGAAGAGAAACTAGTTAAGTCAATGCCCTAGTTAGTTAGTTACTAATAGGCATAATCCATGGATAAAATTCCCAAGGTTTCCAACCTTGGAAGGTCCACGGGTCCAAGGGCTCCAGGGAGGGCTTCTCCATTCGCTTACTAAGCACAGCTTTAGTAAGCACTACTGCCTAAGGCCAACTTCCTGTCACCAAGTTGGTGCCTCAGGCGCCGAGTGCAGTCTAACTCAAAGTAGTAAAATCAAAATATCAGAACCATGGTTCTTTCCACTTGACGCCACGGCGACTTCTTACCCAAATTTCAACTCAAGCACAACCACATCCCAGACCACCTCATTCCAACGTGGCCCTTAAACAATGAATGGAAACCCTCGCTGCCAAACCAAAGACAGCAAGAAGCAACCATGAGCAGCAACCGACCAGAACGACCCGCAAAACCACAACTCCCAGAGCCCCGAAACCACCTGCATTTCGATCCCTGGCAGTCAGCCTCAACAGGACACCAGCGCGCAGACGAAGGCGGCGGTTTCCTCGGCTCAACCTCATGGCGCAATGCGCGCTCCGCAAAATTGACCATGCAGTATCAAAGTGGGGATTGCCTTCCAGGGCGGGGAAGGGGGAACAAGACCACGCGAGAGTCGACGCTTGTACCCGGTGCGTTCGATGGGACATGCGCGTCGCAGTCGCCGCCTAAAGTCCCCGCTTCCGGTGAATGGGCTGTGGTACCTGGGGATGTGGCTAAGCGGAATGAGCTCGGCGTTCGGGATATTCGGTCGTTTATGGGGGTTAGCAAAAGGAAGGCTGTGGATAGGTTCGGAAATGATACTAAGGCAGAGACAAAAAGGCCCAGGACTGTTGTTGGAAGGATTCGAAGTCTAAGTCCGGCTCGACATGCAAAGGAAATGGAAAAGGAAAAGGAAAAGGAAGTATCTCAAATAGAAGACAATTCCCCACCCGAGTCCCGCCCTGGTACCAGCCTCGATCCCAAAGCAACTTCGAGTATCTTCGCCGGTGTTACGATCTTCATAAATGGCTCCACGCTCCCCCAGATCTCGGAGTATAAACTCAAACATCTACTCGCATCGAACGGTGCTAAGACTTCTATCTACATGGCCCGGAAGACGGTGACGCATATTCTTGTTGGACAGCCCAATACCGGGGCTGGGGTTGGAACGGCTGCGTCTGGTGCAGGGGGAGGCCTTGCTGCAAGTAAGCTCCAGCAGGAAATTGCCCGTGGGGGATGGAAAGGTGTGAAGGTTGTTAGTGTGGACTGGTATGTTGAATGATGTTGAATGACCGACGTGTGGTCCTTTCTGACGTTGAAATAGGGCTCTCGAGAGTATCAAAGCTGGACGTTGTCTTGCGGAGTCCCGTTTCCCTGGTATGCATGTTGCCGCCAAGGGGCAGCGAAGTGTTGCTGGGATGTTTGGTGCGCAGGGAGTGAAGAAGTGATCCTCGCTTACATGGATATGGCTGACATTTGGCGGCTTCTTTTCCTTTTTTGGTTTGCATCCCATTGCATATGGCATTTTGCCATGGACGGCGTTTTGGATAGAGTCACAGTTTTCCGTCAACCTTCTGGGTTGGGATGATGGATCTTCCAACTACGTGCACCTATGATACTCAATGATCCAAGATTAGAATCAAATATGATTATCTTGACGATGAAATATCTGCTTTAGAATTTCTCCTGTTCCAATTTACTCATGCACTGCCGTTGCCAATATAACTTATGACGGATGTTGACGTCCAGCACTCTACTTCTTGACTTGACATTTGAACTCCGTACGTGAAGTTCATTTCATTAACGATCATGCACCATCATCATAACATCCATTATATACAAAATCAAAATCAAAACCCAATGACATGTACACGTACATGTACAGACCGGTGATAAGGCCGGGTTCGATCACATAACCCAAAATAGTCAAAAAAGAAAGAAAAAAAATACAGAAAAGAAGGAAATATCAACAAAATCTCCCAATAAGCGCCATAGCCATGCAAAATGCAATGTGAGAAAGAAAACAGGATATGTGCATCATAAATTAGAATCCCAAGGCGGCTATATAAGCCAGATAGATCGCGCAACTTTGTCACATTCACCTGAATGAATTTCCCCTACCTCCGCGTGTGGCATACGTCTCGCCATCATGGCTGCTGTTGTCAGACATATGGCGACGCCAGCCGCTCTGTTGGCGAGTCGGGTAGGCAGGCGGGGGGTCATTGGGGTCTTCTATCTCGCTGGAGAGGGTCGTTACCATATCGGATTCCGAAGAGACTGATCTCAAGACCGATGCATTGATTGTGGTGGGCATGAGATCGAGGGTGGTGGTAGGGGTGATATCAGGGAGGGGAGGGAGGGGGTTTGGATGACGGTGGGTAGAGAAGGAGGATTGGGAGGGAGGTGGGGCGCGAGAATGGGCATGGACAGAAGAGGTTGTCCGTGTGCGAGTTCTACTACCGCTACCCTTCGATGAAGGGTGTTTCCAGCCCTCTTCCTCGTGGGAGAGAGGTTCTGGGGACGAGGTGGCTTGTCGGTTGTGCGGGAGATAGTAGGGGTTGTTGGACTCGGAGTAGTGGTGGTGATTATCCTCGTAGGCGGGAAATGCGGCAGTGGACACGTTGCTAGACACGGAGTTGCCGTGTGACCGGCCTGCAAACATGGGCTGGGGCTCACCAAGTTCTGACTCGGCGCTGGACCATCGGTCTAGCTTTTCGTTTACGAGCTCTTCTGGCCGTGAACGGCGTGAGTCGCCGTGGACGAGACCGAGTGATTCTTCCTCAGTTGCAGACTTGCGCATATCGGCTTCTAGGTGAGTTCGGCGTAGGATACCACGGGGCGGCGAACCCGGTGTGGGTTTGACGGAAGATTCGCTGTCGGTCTTCATACGCCCCATCATGTTGTTGAAAGAGAACTGCCGACGGGCAGTGTTGGCGAGGGGTTCCGGTGCCAGGGATTCGGCCTTTTCGTCTGCCCATGATATTGACCGCGGCGTATCACTACGCGGACGGTTTGCGTTGAATGGAGTCTCCAAACCTCCAGCCATACCGGCACCATGGTATTCGGTGTCAGCATTGCCACTTTGGTATGCCATGTCTGTCATTCCCACCGATTGTGTGTTGCTGTTGGAACTTTTCTCGTCTTCTGTATTTACAGCTTTCCATTGGGAAGGGTGAAGCACGCTGGTAGCCCGAGACCGAATGCTATCCATGAAAGAATGACCGCTTTGCTTGGTGTTAGGTCGGTGGTTCTCCTCATCCTCAACAGCAGGAAATCGCGACATGCCCCACGGTGGATGTTGGTGTTTGACCGAGGGTGTTCGTGGAGTGATTGGTCGTGACATAGTTGGTCCCTCGCCAATTACAGTCTTGCGCCGGCGCAGGCCATCCCATTCAATTATCTCATTCTCACCTGGCACTTTCAGGGTATCCTCATGCTTGTCATGGAAGAAACGGCGCGCTTCATCTGTCTCCATAGTGCGGCGAGCAGTTGAAATGCGACGAATGATAGAGGCCGCACCACGAATGGAGTCTGCCTTGGGCTCAGATTCGGGTTCTTCTACCTCGGCAACCTCTCGAATCTGATCCAGATCGCCCTTGAAAATAGCAGCATCGGGGACGTCCTTGGCAGACTTGGATAGCTGCAGCAATACCACACCGGCACAAATTTGCAAGAACCCAATGATCACAGTTGCAATCTGGATTCCCGTACCCTTGAAGCCCTGGAACAGAATGGCGGAAGTGATAATCGTGGCGCTGGTGAACATCACGTAGTAAGTCGGGGTGACCAGAGCGGCATTGAAAAGATTAAGAGCTTTCTGTATATAGGGATTAGCACAGCCATGAGACACGAAGAGAGTGAAGACGTACATTGAGATAAATAATCTCAGTTAGCAGTGTCCCGATAACAAACACAAACAAGACATAGAGGAACCAATGCTTGAACTGCTCCTCGCCATTAATCTGAGCGAGAATGGCAGACCCCAGGCCCTGGGTAGCCACAACACTCAATCCACCAACCATGCTGCAAATACTGATATAAACAAACATGCTAGACTTTCCATAGCGTGGACCAGCCCAAAGAGCAGTGAAAGCAGCCCCAATAATGATCAGCCCAGCATAGACCAGAAACCCAGGCTGGAGAACAAAATGCTGCATGCTCTGAATATCCTTGACAGACGACTGCTCAGGCGCATTCATAGCAATAGTCACTGATCCAATAATACAACAGAAACAGCCAACCTTCCCCACGAAACTAAGTCGTTCCTTGAGGAAAATCGCCGACAGAATCGTCGTAATCACAACCGAGAGTGCACCAAGCGGCGTAACCAAAATCGCATCGACAAATGCATACGCCACGAAGTTGCAGATCTCTCCAAAAATCATTAACGTCATGCCAGTCCACCACCAGAAATTCTTGAGATATCCATATCCCTCACCGGCCTCCTCATTGTACTTCACGTTCGCCTTCAGCAGCCCGACTTTCTTCACCACGAACGAGATACCGATGAAGACGCCCGATGCGACAGCCAGCGACACACCGACGGCCTTGTACACCGGCGGGCGGCCTGAGGTTTCCGCGCGCGCGAGAAGGTCGTTCGCATGTGATAAGGCGGAATTGGGATCCATAATTGTGGAGGTTGGAGAGTAGGACCACACTGACCAGCAGTGGGAATAGGCGAAGAGTTTTGCCGCGGGGACAGAGAGTCGTCCGAAGACGAGACCCAAGAACTATCTGAAACACTTCGTGACGCTGCCACGATATCGATAAAGACTGGGCGTATCGCCGGGGCGATTATCAACGAGGGGCTTGCGTCAACAATGGTTCCGAGTCGAGGTGTCTCAACCACTTTTGTGATAGAAAAATAATTGCGATTTAGAACATTGGCGATCTGGGAATGCTTCTGGAAAATGTCCACGAGGAAAGGAAAAATGTGGGATTCCGCAAGGGGGCACGTCACCCGTTGGCGCTATGACGGTGGCAAATGGCAGGGATCAGATTTTGAGAATATCAAGAAACTAGAAGTTATTTAAGACAAAGAATCAGGAGTAAAGAAACAGAAAAAAATACAAAGTAAAGAAGTAAAAAATAAAAGGGGAAGGGGATCGAGATGCAAAACAAGGAGGCTGGACCATGTGGGGAAAGGAGGTACTGGTACTCCTGGTGAGGCGGGCTGGCCTGCGATCGGCAGGTACCTGTACCTTTTCGCATCGGCCTATATTGCTTAACTCTGTAGTTTATCCTCGAACAGTATACATATGTACATTGAGATCATCAGGCAATTTACATTCTATATGGATGATGGATGGAAGTGCCATGCTTGGTTTTTTTTTTCTCTCACATAATTACTATACAGACCATCAATTCCCACATTTGGTGTCTCATAAATGTCGTCATTCATTATGCCCGAACGAGAACAGCACTGGCCATCTTTCGCAGGGGTTCAACTACGATAAAAATCATAAATAGGATTGCATGGGCCCAAGACGCCCCTCTCAGCCTTAATCAACCGTCTCAACAGAGGGGTATTCAGCGGGAAAGACACAAAACAACGTAATGCACACGTTAAAAATAAAAAAAAGGGTTCTCGAGATGAAAGCACGTGAGAAGGGATCACCGCACGTGGTAGCTGGGCTTGCGTTGCCGGTTCACCGTTGGTGGCGGCTCATCAACTGGGTAAGGGGGTCGGACTTTTGTGTTAGAGGTAGATGATGGTGCTTGGGAGAATAGCGGTGCGGGCATAGCCACGCCGCCGTCGTCTTCTTGAGCTGGGTATGGGATGGGCGTCTTGGGCGGCACCGGTGGGGCCATGCCATTGAAGGTTGCAAAATACTCATCACTGCGGGAGGGCGAGCTCTGCTGCTGCGAGCTTGGCCGGCTTGCAAGCTCGTGGCTTCGACGATAATCACTGCCAGATTGCCGAGGTGAGGAAACAGATATGCTATCCTGAGGCGTTGGGTGAACCGGGAGTCTGTCTTCCGTTGGTGATGTGGTCACCACGGTTGGAATGGGTGGAGGCGCTTGTGCAGGTGGAGGGTGATGTGCGGAGCCAACGAACTCCGCAGGTAATTCCGCAGGTAGTTCGACAGCGAAGTGCGCAGGGGGTGGAACATGTGATTGGACGGGAGGAGAAAGAGAAAGCGAAAGCTCTTCAGTCTCAAGATCAAAAGATAGGTCGTCGCGATCCCCGCCAGCTGCGGCATGGCTCGCCAGACGGCGGTTCATGCGGTCGATCTTAGCAAATCTCACACTTGCTTCTAGAATCATCTTCTTGACTTCAGGCCTGGCCAGATACTGCCGTGTGTTGGTGCTGATATCGGCTAGCCGGTGCCATTCGTTCATACCAAACTCGCCGACCCCGACCTCGACGTTGAGGCGGAAATAATTGTCTTTGCTGACATTGCGCTTCGCGAGACGGTCTCGAAGCATATCATTGTGAATATCCTCGCAGCCCTCAATCTTCGTCATCAGTCGACGCCGCGCTTCAGCAAATGTGCCCAACGAGTCGCTGAAGACATCCTCCCACCATTCATGTTGTCGGTTATTGGTGCCGGCTGGGCGCTTTCCAGTTCCCACACTGACAAAGACCCCAACCTCCCGACCTGGCCACTCATTCACGACAGCCTCATCAAGAACCAGCGGCGCGGGGTTGAATGTGCCATGACCCTCATCAATAAAATGGTGTTGACCAATCTGGATGGGCTTGAAAGCAAGCCCTGTCGCAGATGTCGCACGTCCTGCTTGCCAGATAGTACAGTCGAATTCAGGTGGAGGTTCTCGGCGGGAGTCGTAGGACCGTAGAAGGACAGCCGATCCTTTGCGCGGAGTGCCCTTGTACATAGCAGTGACCGCACTATATTTCATATCAGTACCAGCGACCCACGTTTTCGCATTGTAGAACTCACGTTTTCGTCCGATTTTCTCGGTTATCATAAAGCAGCGCGTCTGGATTACCCCAACGCAACCCATTAAGAAAAACGGAGCCTCTTTGGCTTGTCGGGGACATTGGATGCGAAGCAGCAGCGGTGCTGAAACTGCCCCGACTAATAGAGCGTTGCGGAATCGAGGCTGGGCTGTATGGCAAGCTGGTCATAGAAGTCATGGAATCACGATTAGGAGAATTCCCCGTGTCATTTCCCTCCGTCTCGTACACTGTATGTTCCCGCACACATTCGCGGATCGCCTCCTCGAGCTTCGAGGCCTTGAACAAGGTCGAGCGGTAGGGAATACCAGCGATGGTCTTGTCGGTCTCGAATACTTTGCGAGTCATGCGCACGTATACTTCTTTGCAGGTCTCGAGATCTAGGCGGAGGCGACCGAGCATTAGGGCGATCAAGCCGCCAGTACCGGTACCAGCGATCAAGTCGAAGTGATCGCAAGGTTTGGGAATCTGGTCTCGACGCGGAGGCTTGCCTTCGCATTCAACATAAGTGCGGTACATGAGTTCCTGGAGGAGAATAAGCATGGAGTAGCCACGAACACCACCGCCATCTGTTCGGGTCAGCTGAGTCTGATATACGCCGGGATGAGATAATACTAACCTAGAGATAGAATCCGCAGCGGAGGACCCTTGGTGGTGTCCTTGCGGCGCAGGTGGGCTGGATCCATGGCGATTGTAACAGTTATGTTTTGGAACGATTACGATCGCTCTTTTCTTTCCTGCAGCGGCGGCTTACCCGCGGCGGAGCGATGCCTTATGCACCGGATCGCGGGATGGTTGGCGCCTGACCGATCAGGTCTAGAAAAGAGGTAGAAGCGTCACACAGTTGAGAGACAAGTCGAATGCAGCTCTGGTTGGGAGCGTGACAGGTAAACGTGAGAGTCGCAGTTTAGTGTGGACTCCAAATAGGCAGCGGCGTATGGCTGATGATTGGAGGGGCTTGAGCCACAGTCGCTGAATAGTTCGGTAAGGCTGTACTAGCTTGACCACAACACAAACGTATGAGTCGCATAAGTCACTGAATAAAATCAGCAAGGGAGGACGACACTGGAAGTCAAAGATATTGCATTGCAATGTTATTCTTAGAAACCGAATCCCAAGTCCACTTTCAGTTGCATTTCCTTGGATCACAAAAGTCAGGTGACTATTTGGGGCAATTGGTGGCGGTGCTTGATTATGACATAATTGTGGCTGTGTGTTTATCCCCCAATTAGCTTGCTTTCTTATGCTTCTCACTCGGATTTCACGTACGATATAGTCTGATGCATTAAAAAGAATGAGGACTGTCTCTTGTTGTCAAGTCAGCTACAATTGTCCTTTTGTGAAAGTTCGTCCTAGCACATATATTATAATTCCAACCTCCGATATGACGTCAATTCCCTCGATATCTACAATATGTACCTAGGTATGTACAGACACAATACTGAGATGTCCATATTGATGTGCAACCAAAAGGAAAATCTACCTAGATATTTACATACGTATTTTCAATTCGTCATGCCAGGCCAATCTGAAGAAGCCAATTAGCATTCACTCACACAATCCGCCAGGAAAAAAAGGAGAAATACTCACCAAAAATAGACCTACTAGTTCCTTTCTCAGCAACCGTAACCTCGTCACCAACCCTCAAACTGATCCCCTCGCCCTTCGGCTCCAAGAAAGCATATCTACCAAAAACAGGGCTGTACTTCGCCCCAGAATCCACCCTGCGATCCTTCATCAACTTTTTAAGCACAGCACCAGACTCACCAGTCCCCATCTTCCCAGTCTCGTAATCAACATTAAGGCTCTGACAACGTACACAATTCCCCGTCAGCAACAGCCTACTCGACCCACGCTCTAATCCAGCGTTTACAGTCAGCGCACCCCAAAAGTCTTCTTCGAAAGCCTCCCCAGCCCCCGAAACGACAATATTAGGCCGGAACTTCGTGAGGTCCATCTCTTCCCCGTCCGGCAGCCGCGCTGAGACATTATCAACGGATGTCTCGGAGATAACCAGATAAGGCGCACAGTCCGCAAAGGTAATGCGGTCCTCGTGCTGTGCATGCACAGTGTAAAAGTAATATAGCACCAGCACCAACACCATCGTACTAGCAGTGAAAATGAGCGTGGGTGTGAGACTTCGAGCTGTTTGGGGGGTAATCCCGTCGTGGACGATTGTACCGCCCTGAAAGAGTATATTGATCGCGAATGCTACAATGAGAATCGGGAAGGCCCGTTCCCATTTCCTGTCGGGTCTTGTTAGACGTTCGCGTATTGTGCGCAGTGGGCTCATTTTGTCTTTCTTTGCTGGCGCCAGTGTGCCAAGCACCTCTCTCGAATGCGGTCCCAGGTAGGCTAGGACTACGGGGTACCCGAAGCGAGTGCTGAACCAGTCGTTGTACTTTGCTCCCATGTTGTATCCTGTTGTTGGGCTCTGGTGCATTACGATTTTGAGGGCGTTGAGGCTTTGGGGGTTGGGCTGGAGTGGGATTTCCAGTCGATTGCTTTCGCGAGGTCTGGTAGCTGACTCTGATAGAGGAGGGTGGTATGTGATAATCAGTTTTCCACTGTCCTTTCCTGTTTCCGGATACTCAATGTCGGTGTGGAAGAGGGCCATTTCTGGGAAATGCGGGACATGCATGTTCTTTAGGGTTGTGCTGCCGGAGCCATCCTCAGCTGGGATGACTTTGAGGAGCATGAAGTGGCGGTCATATTGAAAGCCGCGTGTAGTTAAAATACCCTCTGTGATTGTTGTTGGTCGGAGGGATTTAATCGGGTAGACATAGAGCTGACGGTGGGTTAGTATTTTGTTTCCCATCTTCGTCGCAATTCCGTGTTCGTACCTGGCTAACTTTCATGATTGTAGGTGGAAAGCCCTGCTGCAGATGAAAAGAAAGCAGCACGTCGTAGCTCGATGCAATCCACGGTTTATGAAAATTCGTTTTGGTCGGCCGATCTCGGGCGAAAATGATGTTTCCGTCCTGAATTAGAGTTTGCGGAGTAAATCTGCCCATTTATTGTCCGACTTTGTATATTCTAGCGTACATGTAGGTATTTACCAGGCGAGTTTATCTTTGAACTTCTTAATTTCTAGTCTTAAATAAAAAGTCTTCAATCATATTCGTTTCGAAATCACGTAAGGAAATATACAGAGGGAATCAAAAAAAAAGAAAAGAAAACGTCTACTGGTCCTCAGCCCATGGCAAACTGAAGGTACCAACCCAGTCCTCGACCTCTTGGCGGAGCACAACAATCTCCGAGATCTCCTCGCCCTCACCCACGTAGTCCAAGAAGGCCTTGACAGTATTGGGGTTCTTGACACCGCGGGACTGAGCCGACTCACGGGCAACCTTGTCCAGCTTCTGGGTGATGGTGACCGCACGATCGACGATATCCGCAACACGGGTGAAGTCTTCGGGCTGGAAGCCACGAGAGGTCATGGCTGGGGTTCCCAGACGCAGACCGCCGGGCTTGAGGGCGGACTTGTCACCAGGAACGGTGTTCTTGTTGCTGGCGACACCACAAAGCTCGAGAACGCGCTCAACGCGAGCACCGTCCACGCCGCGGTTCTTCAGGTCCACTAGCACCAGGTGGTTGTCGGTGCCACCGGACACAATGTTGTAGCCGAGCCCACCGTTGCTGGTGGAATCGCCTAGGCGCCCGGCTAGAGCAGATGCGTTAAGGAGCACTGTCTTCTGGTAAGCCTCAAAGTCAGGCGACTGAGCCTGTTTCAGAGCCACGGCAAGCGCGGTGATAGTGTGGTTGTGAGGGCCACCCTGGTGGCCGGGGAAGACAGATGCGTTGATTGGGTTCTCGAGATCGTACATGACGGGGTTACCCTTCTTGTCTGTGCTGCGCACGCCCTTACGGTAGAAGATCATGGCGCCACGCGGGCCACGCAGAGACTTGTGGGTGGTGGTAGTCACGACATCTGAGTAGGGGAAGGGAGATGGGAGCACGTTGGCAGCCACAAGGCCCGAGATATGCGCCATATCGGACAGCAAGTAGGCACCGACGGAGTCGGCGATCGCGCGCATGCGCGGGTAGTCAATCAGACGGCTGTAGGCCGAGGTACCCGCGACAATCAGCTTGGGCCTATATAGGGTGGCCGACTTCTCCAATGCATCATAGTCGATCAGACCAGTCGACTCGTCCAGGCGGTAGGGGAAGGTCTCGAAGTATTTGGAGATGGCAGAAATCTTCTTGGTAGGGGTCTGATAACCGTGGGACAGGTGGCCACCGTGAGGAAGGTCCAAGCCCATAAGGCGGTCGTGGGTGTTGAGGAGGGCGGAGTAGGCCATGAGATTAGCAGGTGAGCCAGACAGAGCTGGAGTGGGTTAGCCTTCACATATATCATTGCACCACGTCGAGTGTATCATACGTTGAACGTTCACTCCCCATTCCTCCGGGTTCAGACGGAAGGTCTCCAAAGCACGCTGCTGGCACAATCGCTCGGAGGCATCAATGTGCTCGTTTCCTCCATAGTACCGGGCACCGGGGTATCCCTCGGAATATTTGTCTGAATTACGGTTAGCATTGTCTGCCGGACAAGTAGAGGCGGTCACCCAGAGTACATACTTTGCATAACACTGCCTAGGGCATCGAGAACAGCTTGCGATGTGAAATTCTCGGAGGGGATCAGGTTAATGAAGTGCTTTTGACGGTTTTTCTCCTACGATGGTTTTAGCAGCTGGTCGGTCAATTGGTGAGCTCTCTATCAGCGATGACGCACCTTCTGCAGAATGTTATAAACGGCGGGGTCAGACTCCTGCAGAGAAGCCGCGAGCAGCTATCAAATTGTCAGTTTGAACGTTGTGCTTGCCATTGAATCGATTCCGGCCACCAACCTTGTGTTGCGTATCACGGGTGGACGAGGCTACTCCCCGCGATTGGGGTGCTAATCTGGGCACGATAGAGGCGCGAGCGGAGACAACGGCTGCCCGGGAGCTCCCCAGGGGGAGCAAGCGAGCAGCAGATCTACCACAGCGAGACAAATACATGATGAAGCTGAAGAAGGTCAATTCACAAGCAGGGTATTATGTACTTGACCGATAGGAAAGCAACGGCTTTTAAACGACTGATGCTAGTCGGACGAGCACTGGCATCTTTCCGTTGCCCGCGGAAAGCGGGAAAAATGCACTATTCCCGTTCTGGCTCTCCGCCTGGCCCGTGCGCCAGCTATTGGTTTTTCTTCGCTCGGCAAAACTTTTCCCTTCTTTTCTTCTTCACACAACTAAATCCAAGATGAAGAAACGGCGTTTTTATCTGTGTCAGCACTCGTCGGTGACGGCTGGATTTCGGTCTAGCTGGCGCTGGACGGGCGCTGCTGAAAGGTCCCACGCCTCTTAACCATCCTTTGAGGGGCCAGTACCATCGGATTGGAATTGTTGTGTTGGTTCAGGGTCTGCTGTGTCGGATCCATATCTCTATGGACCCCTTCGTGGCAACGGTTGCACCGTCGCATTGTCGACACTCCAGTATAATGAGGACGTACGATGATCGCATGCTCCGAGTGACTCTCGAGTACAATTACTTTCGCAAAATATAATCGCTACTATTAGTCTTGAAAGTGTCCTTGTCCCGCATTCTCTTATACGTACTCCATCCTCACAATGTGGTGACCTCGACCAACTACATTGTCCAACAAGCATCGCGGCGTTGATGCACAATCCAAAGAACTCTTATGGAATGTAAGCCGTGTATGTGCGGAGTACGGAGTACCTAGGCACTACTGTAGGGGTAACCAATTGCACTAAAGATCACCAACCCACTATTGCATGGACCATGATAAGAATAGAACTGTATTGAGATTGTTCGCCCTTATTTTGTATCTCATCTTACGTTGCTCATCACATTGTCATTCAGTCTAACTTGAAACTCGCGGTACAGTTGGCCATCACATATCCGTTCAGACAAGACGTAGCCTGAGGAAACAGCGCATAATAGCCACGAATAAAACACCCCTGTGATTTCCACCTCTCATCTCACCTTCCGTAAAGGTTCCTGCTCCGTTTGGCGTAGTATGTGGCAGGTCGATTAGCCTCAGTATGTGGTTGTTTGATCATAAAAATCGCGCGGAGTTTAAGTAGGAGCTCCGCCTGTGGGATATTCTGTCTATCGATGACTCTCAGCGTAAGCCAAACAAGATTGAGATACCCTCGTTTTGAAGCTATTGCCAAAGGTGCCGTAAAGTAAGCAGACATCCCAAGAGGCTCTGCACCTTGTTCCAATAAGAACTGGACGAAAATGTCTATCGTTTCCGGGCCTGGTGCAACCCCTCCCACGAGCAGGCGATCAAGAGGCGACTTTGCTAGAGGCGATTTGTTCGGTTCACTGTATGCGCCGTTTCTCCTGGTAGATCCATAGTAGTCGCATTGGTATTTGTATCTGTCTGTGGCGGAGACGTGGGGTATCTCCATCCCTAGCCAGTATGTTTCGATTTCCTCACCCAGCAGATTGAGGATTCAATAATCCTCTGTCCAACAGGAGCTTAAACAACGGAAAACATGCTTTACTGACAGCAGTATCTATGGCTTCCTCGACTTCTCGGCTTCCTGGAAGACCTTCAGTCCATGGTCCAAGCCGAGTCTTGTCATTGCTTCACCCCCCGTCACTGCCGCTACTAGCAGGGGCTTGCAAGTCCAACAGCCAGCTCGAATAGGGGGTTTTCAATGGTATGCCTCTTTCTAGGAGGATTTGGACTATTTTGGTATGACCGCGCCTTCGAGGGCCCTTTCGAGGACGAATGCGCTTGTGGGTATTCGTTCTGCACCCTCAAGACTCACAATAGCTTGAGGTAATCCAAAATACTGGACACCAGTGGGTCCGCACGCTGATTTTTGCTGCTGGTAGCGATAGATCCGCGCCTCGCTCAAGCAGAAGGCGGGAGATATCTGGATACGCCACAGCCAAATAGATGCACGGCAGGTCACCGATCTCCCTTTCAAGGTGACAGCATCGTCCTATGCCATTCAGTTCTGCGCCGTGGTTGAGGAGAAGTCCCACAATATCCCGGTGCCCTCATGCAACTGCATGGAGATGTGGGAAGGGTACTTCGTATTTCGAGGTGGGGTTTCAGCTTGCATTATAGGAAAGCAGTAGCTACAGAGTGCTATACTGACCTCGACCGGCCGCGAGCGATATAGCCGGGAGATCATCTGTTGCGAGGTTGGAAGTTCTGGTTGAATAGAAAGAGTGTAGACTGCTCACTGTTGTATCCACCAGATAACCCTTGTCTAGGATTTGCCGTAGCATGTCATCCCATCCACAGGCAGCAGCCAGCAATCAGCATAAGCTTTGTTCCGATGTCTTGATCTGATCATCCCTTCCAGGTCGATGGATCCACGGAGGAGCTGAGTCACTGCATAGTTCTCCAAAGCGGCAGCAATTCCCAGTGGGTGCACATTTATGCCAGGCGGTTGCGCGGGAAATGGATTCGCTCCATGAGCAAGTAGCATTTTGGCTGTCTCCGGGTCGCGCTGAACGGCGGCACGACACATGGATGGCCAACCGCGAAGGTGTATATCGGGACGGACTCCTTTTTCAAGCAGAACCGAACCATACCGGGATACCCGGCTTCGATTGCTGCGCATAGGGCGGGATACTCGTCAGCGAGCTCGATCGATTCAAGACCACAGCCATTCTCCACGAGAAGTTTGGCGATACCGAGGCTTCCTTTTCCCGCAGCTTGTGTTAGCATCATCTTGAGTCCTTGACGGTTAATGACCGCCCCATGATCAAGCAATAATCTGAGGATTGGCTCAGAGCCTACGCGAGTGGCTGTGTGGACCAGATCGATACCGCAATAATACCAATTTTCAGAGACAGTGTCTTAGTACGCAATCCAATTCGGATCAACACCATGCTCCAGAAACAGGCGCACGATAGTTTGTTGATTTCGTGAGGTAGCCACATACAAGTACTCCCATCTTTTGTGGTATGTTTCCTCCGGGAGCCTCACTTGGTGTGAGCCGCGCAGTTGCTACGTTGCCACTTTCCGCTGCCCAACGCGGGGTGCGATTGGAGTAAAATTCGGCATCCCATTGATAGAGGGTGGGGTTTAGGAGCAGGTATAGCGTTCTGCATGTTTGGACAAAGGAGTTGAGAGACCACAGGTCTAGGGAGAAAACATATGTGTCTGGATTAGGGCTGAAGTGTGGGTCTTTCACGGGCGAGACTGTAGAGACCCCATTGGTCGGGTATGGCCCGGAAAATGAGGTTTATAATGTCAAGTGGTAGATTTAAGAGATGAATTTTCGACTTTACACAGTAGAGGAGTCTGAGAAACAGTAATGGATTTTATCCAGATATATATCTACTGGTATGTGCAGACATATGTAGCCAACAAAGCGGTCAACTGATCCTATACCCGCGGGTATGACGCACATTTTGCAAACCATCTTTCGAATGAAATTCTCAACTTTCTATACAACGTTGTACATAGGTAAAATGTAGGGATTCTGATATCTTGGAAGTGATTAAGCCTCAAATCTGGTGTAAGAGTTAGGTCTCGATTTTATATGTTCATACTGCCATGTATAATATTTTGAGAATCCAAAATTGTTCAATTTTAAGAGATGAAGTCTCTAAAAATTCTTGAGAATCGAATAATTAGGCCGATCCAAGCCGATCAAAGCAGCCAGAACTCCAATCGCCAGTGCCCAGAGAAACCGGTCCAACCCTAGCAGCCCACTAGTGCCCGAGTAGGAAAAGATCCGCCGTGCCACGCACCTCGAACCAGTTCCTGAGAGCGTGCGCCTAAGGTGAGGAGGACGCTAGGGAGGAAGTGACTTTGGTCTTTATAGTAATTTGGCTATATCATTAAGTATCTTTCTAAGTTACCTCAATTTACCTTCATTGTTTATTTTTTTCTTCTTATTGCCACTGTGCCCCTTTTCCCGTTTCCCACAGTTCCCTGGGAAGTGCCTGAGTGGCACCGGGTACCTGAATCTCATTTAATTAATTTAACTAATCTCACAGGGATTGGTTATAAACTCTCCTGCCCCCCTTCTTTTCTCTCTTTCCTCACCCACGCTGACATTCTCTAAATCCCCGGTTTTCAACCGATTACATTCTTTTAAACTGTCACTCTTTTAACATATCTCTGAACATTCTTGGAACCATTCCAATCAACTCTATCAACTCTATCACAATGCGTTTCTCTATTGCCGCTCTCACTCTCGGTGCCGCTGGTGCCATGGCTGGTGTTGTCACCGAGACTCTCACCGAGTACACCACCTACTGCCCTGAGGCCACCTCCATTGTGCACGGAAGCAAGACCTACAGCATCTCCACCGTGTGTTTACCCTGCCAACACGTCTGCAACGCATACTAACAATCACAGCCCGGCTACATCACCATGAGCCACGGTCCCTACACCGTTACTCGTCCCCTCGTGACCTCCACCGTGACTGAGTGCAACTCCTGGTAAGCATTTGCTTAAATCCAACACCAATCAATTCAATCTAACACATTTCATAGCTCTTCTACCCCCGCTGTCTCCACCCCCGTGGCCAGCAGCAGCGTTCCCCTCATCCCCGTCGTCCCCAGCGTCGCTACCTCCACCCCTCTGGTCCCCAGCGCCGGCTCCACTGGCGTGCCAAGCGCTCCCTCCAGCGCTGCCACCCCCTCCCAGCCTGCCTTCAACGCCGGTGCCATCAACGCCGCTACCGGTGCTGGTGCCGGTCTGGCTGCCGTCTTCGGTGCCGTTGCCCTCCTGCTGTAAATCAGTTGAGTGTGTCAATGGTATCATGAAGAGATAGTATCGTTACTGGTGTTATTGCTTTGATGATACCCGCACGGTGCTATCGGGTGTTTACGGTTGTGGGTTCTTCTTCTGGTGTATATGTCTTGTCTACGTCTTAGATAATACATAATGAGCCCTCTTGGGTTTACTTTTCATGTTTGCCTTTCTTGTGGAGCATATATTTTTGTTGGTTTTTGCGCATTATTCTCCTGGACATAACGCTTTTTATTTATTCATCTAACTTCGATCAAGAATGATCTCTTACTTTCTACTTGTTCTGCTTGTACTTGTCTCAATCTAGAGTATCTATACATGTAGATAGTGACCTGTGCATTCGACATCACATCAACTATCAATATCATCTTCATACCTCGCCATCTTGATTAGTGCACATGTATCTGATACTATATCAAGTTTGACATCGGAATGTATATCAGACCTTATTTGTCGTTCTCATTTGTCTTTCCTAGCTATGCGCATTATAAATTGATGCCATACTCTATCTTCACAATTCATCATCCCTCTCCATCGCTGTATCTTTCACGATCTCCTCCGCCCAATAGAAACCTTTGGTATCTCGGTTTCATCACCAATCTGACCAGAAGGATGTCGACTATTCCAAAGGAAAAGGTCCAGGCTTCAGCCCGCCTCAAAGATCCCACACAAGCTAAACAGGTCTGGTGTCGCGGTTCACATCACTTACACCATCAGTTCATAGCCTTGATACTATCCACAGTGGATACCCTACCACATTGGATACCCTATGCCTGCAATAAAATATGTGACTGTTGATGATACCGAATATGCTGACATACCTATGCGCTGTAGGATTTCCTTGATGTCAACTCTTCCGAGTCGACTGGGACCCCTGCGACCAAAAAGCGCAAGAGGGATCGATCTAGGCCCAAGCGTCTGAGGATGAGTTCCTCAATGGAGACCGTATCCCCTGGGTCGATTCACTCCAAGACCTCCAAGACTTCACACAAGCACTCGCCCAACAAGGAACTCAAGAGAGACAACAGTGCGATCAAGTCTGCCATCTCGCGTGGAATGCAACAGTCCACATCTCCCGGGCCCAGTCGGCTCGAACTCTCGCCCAAGCCGTCGTTGGAGCAGAAGGCCGCGAATGACAATGTTTCTACCAAGCCCACGAACCCATTTGAACTTGCAGACATTCCACCTTCAGATTTCATCTTCCCCCGCGACGTGGAGTTGGGTCTATTCGACTACCCGTCCAACGAGAGGGAGACCTCATATGAGCCAGTCTCTGAATGCCTGCCCGAGCAGCGCAACGAAGTTGCCACTCCGTACACCCCGGCTTTGCGCACTGTGTCGCAGTACACACAGCGCATCCGGGGCCAGTGTGGGAGCAAGTGTGAGACTTGGTTGGCGCGCCAGATGTACGACGAGCTGAATGATATCTCTACTCGTATTGAAGACATTATGCGTGGGATCAGGGTGATGCTGGAGAAGAGGGGCCCGAGCGATGATTTTGAGGGTCTCGGTGAATATCATTTGGAGGCTGAGGAGTCCTATGATGCATTCAAGGGTGGTTGTCCTGAGGATCCGTTGGAATTGAGTGACGGGGAAGATAATGCACTCTTCGTGAACGCTGATGAACGCTGATGAGTTTAGTGGCTTGTGTGGGGACGAATAGAAGGGTATGTCCACTCTTTTGCTAAACTACGATAGCTTGCTGCACACATTGCACTACTTTTATCTTTGGTATTACTCAGCTTCCTCTCTGTTGACTGCATTAACGTCCTAATGCGAGAGGGGTAGAAGCCAGGTCGTTTTAGAGATCATTTAGTATTAAGTTATGAGTTTGAGGCTCACTAAGGGACTTTAAATGTCTCTCCACGGCCTTGCATATTCATTATTTACTCGCATCTCATGTACTAATGGTCATGTCTCATATCAACATTAGCTCATTTCCACATACACACTTCAAAGAAGAGGCATCGTCACACGATTTGTGTAATCAACATTCTCTTTCACGCTTTCGATGCGCTCATGACAAGTGCCAAAAATGCTATCCCAAAGACGAGTCTGCTTGCCATAGTTATGGCTCTTTCTCCATCCATAGCGGTGATGTAGATCATGATCTTCAATCACCAACTCAGCATCAAAAATTTCCAGCAACCAATTCACAGTAGACGGTGCACCACCATGAAGTCGAAGCCCACTATGTCCAATGAACTCCGAGAAGGCAATATACTGAAAACAAATCCACCATCCGTAAAAGCCCATGGGCAGCCCAATAATCTTCAACGTAGTATATGCAAGAAGCGGAATACCCGTAATATCCATAAATTCCTGCTCATGGTCGGCGTATGCTGAAAGCAACGGATTGGGATGTTTCGTCAGGTGATGTCTACGGTGGAACTTCCACAATGGGCCCACCGAGTGCATCATGCGGTGATACCAGTAGAACCAGAAGTCCACCGTGATACTGTACAGGCCGATCTCCAAGGGGAGCCATTTCCATTCCAGTGATGTTGGTGTCTCACCCGGACGGTAGGTAAGAAATATAGCCATCACCATACGCAGTGTTGAGGTGGACATAAGCTCCCGTATCACCTTGGCAACGCCAACATCAGGGATCTCATCCCGAGGATGCTTGTCGCCGTCCAAGAAGCCATAGACTTGGCCTAGGCGGCGCATGATGTGCATTTCGTGGATGCCGTTCACCTTGAATGCAGTAGCATACAACGCAAACGCGCCGATCAGATGCATGTTCTGCCCGGTGTAAAGTGTGTAGGCGTGGTGTATTGCGAGTGGGATCGCGGCGTGTAGTAGAATCCACAAGTGGACGGTCCATTCTCGAATGGCGGGTATCTTATCTTTCTTGGAGAAGATTGGAACCTCCGCGTCAAAGTCAATGAGATGCAAACCAAGGAGCTCAATCATCCAGTGGTGAAAGTTCCATTGAGATCGGTCATGGCGCCACGTAGACACCATGGAGTCTGCCGGATTGCGCTTGATGGTGGTCGTTTGGGAAGGCATTATTGCTTGATTTTGAATTTCACCCGTATAGAAGATGATATTGACGGCTATAGGTAGATCTAAAAATTCTTATATACATGGGTCCGTTCAAGGTTGTCCGGTATAGCCGCACATGTGAAGTTATGATCCACACACACAACCCTCAAACAGGAGACGTTGCCAGAACTCTAAAATTTGTGGACAAATCAATCAAGACAGATTGAGGCGTTGGGGAACCCAAAAAAGAATGGAGTGCGAGGATCTGTGATCTCATAGCGCGGGGAGGGCATCAGGACCTGTGATTGAGTCGTCTGCCTCGGTCCCCGGGATATCTACGGAGAAGGCGGGGGAGTCCCTTGATGAGTCTGGGGAGCAGATCAAGGGTTCATCATTTGGTCAACCGTTCACGTTCGTATTTAGCTCGTGATGATCTCATTTAACGGATGCCCAATTGTGGGACACGATACCCGCTAGTCTTGCGTAAAATTCTACACCGTGCACACTAATAGCCGATAAAACAGCGGAAGATGGTGTAGGAATGAGACGAATATAATTTTCTGACATATGTTGAAAATATCCTGGAGGTAGCACAGTGGAAACAACTATAAAAGAATAAGGATCACAGTTGATGTAGCAATAAGAAACAGGCAAGACGATGGACGAAGACGAGCTCATAAAAAGTAACCTAACACAAGAGAGAGAACTTCGAAGTGGATTGTATGTTGAATTTTGTTGCCCTCGGAGAAAGCCCCTTGGAGTGTAATGGATATCATTATGTTGTAGGGGCATGGTACTGGAATTCATCTCGGGCTTTCACGGAAATAATGGTCCTGGAGTTACGTGGTGAGTCCCATTCTCTTGAAGCATAGGGAAGGGTTGTGTCAGCACAAGAGGCAAATCCTCGCAAGGGACCCATTTCTAACTACGTTCTCGATGATGCTTCAGCTAAAGATAGTACCTCGGATGATGAATACATTGAATTTTCGTTGTAAGATCAACTTTCCAACGTGGTCGCTTGGCTCACCGGGCTCGTTCCGCTTGCCGGGGTCGCTGCACTTGCTAGGCTGAGACATTCTTTTCAGCGTGTCAGGTGCTTCAGATGCTTCAAAGTACAACGTTGTGGTTAACTTGCGATGGAGTGATGGACGAAGTCAATGAGCATAACGATAAGCTCATTGGGCATGAGTGGTCGGAGTCCGGCGTCCTACCTATTGACAGCTTTCTTCGCTTGTCTCTCGAGTCGAAATTGGTGGAAGTTGGGTAGACACCACAGTCATCCCCGGATTCTGCGATGAGGGTCCCTGATGGTGCCCCCTAGAAGGGGGATAGATGTCTAGGACGGAGGAGAGAAGTAGAAAGAGATTGAATTAGTAGTAAGAACTATGAATAGTCAACGTACGCCTGACACCCGAGAACGGGTACTTGACAGTAAGCCAAAGGTCTATCAAAATGACTACCCCAGGGCTACGTATGTATGTGGTATGAAATAAAAGTGAGATACGTGTGAAATGGAAATGACAGATATTATAGATAGTCTAGTTTAGCAACTACTTTTGTAAACATTAACTG